TCGGGAGAAAATTCACTAAAGAAGACAACGGGCGTAGCCAGGCCATCATTCTTAGTAGGCAGGGATAAGATTTTAACAGCGAAAAATTCACTCGAGGAGAAGACAGACGAAGCCAGGTCATATCTATATATAAAGCAAAAGTACAAAAAAGCAACCTTTTTAGAGTATTCTCAATTAAAATTATAAATACAATAAGGGTATATGTTTAGATGAAGAAGAAATTAAATTTTATAGAAAATATATAAATACCACTATCAATTTAACATATTTTGTGATATATATAAATGATGGATAGATATGAAAGGAATTTTTGACCCTAACATTTGAAAATATTCAAAAATCAGACTAATTTGCTTATTTTGAAGTCAGTAAATATGGTGCTAATATTGTTGAATCCTGATTGGCAATAATGATTTCTCATAGTAATACTAGAACATTATCATATTCTACGAACAGGTCTAGAATGACAGCCTGTTATAAGTCTTAAGGCTCATTAAAGTTTTATCCTAGTAAAGCTAAAATAAAGTAAGTGTGAGAGTATATGTTTTTCATTAATATATTTTTAACTCTACTCAAATATTGAGAAATCTTATTATCAGTAAAAAATGTTTTACGTAAAGTTTTTTCTACCTTCACAATTTATATAATGGCATCTGAAACTACACCGTTTTTTATACAAGTCCTATGAAAGTGTTTTACAGTAATCCCTCGTTAAGACGAACTCAACGGGAGAACGAAATACCCTTTTCGTCTTAAAAGAATATATACCGAATTCGTATAAACCGAATTCGTATTAGACGAATTGAATTCGTGGTATCCGGGGGTTGTACTTATGTACTACTGATGAGTAAGAAAACTAAATTTCTGAGGAATAACGAATAAATTTATTTGAAAACAATATTAATGAAAATATTTTATAATTTTAAGGAACAACAATTATGTATATGTATGTACATAAAGTATTTTATTTTAAAAGACAATATGGATAATATAATCACAATGTAAGGCAATAACATGAGAATATAAGTTTATTTTAAAACACAAATAAAAAAGAACAACAAAAGAAACAACTTACATAATATACTTGGTACATACAATGTTTATGTGTATGCAGCATATGCAGTATGCATAGAGTATCCTATATCTGGGTTTTCTCTGCAGGCTTCAGAAAGTCTGTTATAGTTTTTTGGTGGTATTTGATTGGGCACTGTTTCAGACACTCCCTTCTTATTTTATCCAGGTCATCTTCAAAATGGACATCAATATCCGCAGAGGTTTTGGACAGCTTCTGGAGGGTTTCGAGGGCCGCGATTACTTCCCCTCTAGTAGGCATCATTATCTCTTCTTTCACCTCATCGTCTTCTGTTTCTTCTTCTTCTTTCTTCTTTTCTTCTAATTCGGGGTGAACCGCAAATTTCCAACCCTTCATCCAGGGCAACATACTCCAGGAAAGTCAAAGTCTCAGCTGGGTTTGTAGCTGAAAGGAGTTTGGTCCATTCTTCAGGCTCATCAAGCATTGTTTCTGGAAGTGAAAACGAATCAGCTGTTTTTTCCACACCCAATGAGACACTTATTTCTTTAGCCTTTTCTTTGACAAGTGCGCCGGATACAGGAATATTATTTTGTCTACTTTTTTAAAACCATTTTAAAAGCTCATCTTCCACGTCTTGATGGGATGCTTTTCGAAGTCGTTTTGAAGAGCTCGAAGACCCCGAGGCAACAGCCTCAGAATTCGTTTTAAACCGATTGATTAGTTCTGCTGGGGTCTAAATTTAATTCGTATTTCGTCATAACCGAATATTTCGTCTTAACCGGCAAAATCTCTTTGGAAAGCATTGAAATTTAACGGGGGAAAAGAAACGGTTCGCGCAAACCGAGAGTTCGTATAATCCGAGTTCGTGATAACGAGGGATTACTGTATATAGATTTTACTATTTCAGCATTATATTACAATTTGCTCAATCGCGATGTTACTATTTAATTATTTGTAATATTTAAGATCATATTTTAAATAAAATAGAACCAGGACCCATTTGGTTAAAATATGCATAACTAACCAAATGAACAGGGCTGACAACGCCCAGGTTTTATCCGAGTGAATTTTCACTTGAGGGGGGGGGGTCATATAAGCTTCGCTTTGCTTACGGCATTCAAAGACATCCGAACCCTTGATCCCAATATATCAATCGGAATTTTCTCAGATTGCCTCTCCCTCCTATGCACCATTTCAAAACCCAGATTCTTCCACCCCATAGTTCACAAATGCCAGCTTCTTTTATATGACCTACTTCCTACCCGCAACATAGCCCTACACTGGGTAAAAGGCCACTCAGGCATCGAAGGTAACTGCCGAGCTGATGCTCTGGCTAAAATAGAAGCAGCTGACAGTGTCACTAGCCCTAAATACAAACTAGCTTCTAAAACAACTACAATAACCTCCCTCTCATCCAAACAATGGAAAGCATGGGACAACGAATTCACCAGATCTAATCCCACCATACTCCGCAACCTCGGCATGACACCCATTTACCTCAAAACCACCCACAAACATATAACACCTGACTCAGCCATCACCACAGGTTTCATCACAGGCCACACATGGATTGGTGCTAATGGACACACTATGTTAAAACTATTTTATAGATCCTTTTCTTTTGTACATAGAATGAAGATCTTAGGTGAAGGGAGACAACGAGCAAGACATCTATATCTATAGATAGCCCCAGCTTGGACCGACCGAGGGCAAAGGTCGGCGTGGGCGGAGACGACGGAGCGTCATGTTACATTCTTTTTTTGGTCAGTTGGCAGGATTCCCTTGTTAGAAGCGGAGGGGAAAGTTGAGTTCCCTTGCCAGACGGAGAGACGTCTAAAAGCTATCCTGCAAGCAGCGTCTTGTGGAAGGAAAGACGTCAAGCTATCCTGCAAGCAGCGTCTTGTGGAAGGAAAGACGTCAAGCTATCCTGCAAGCAGCGTCTTGTGGACGGAGAGAACGCATTGGAGTATCCCTCAAGCAGCAACTTGAGAGCGGAAAAGACACTTAGACAACCAACGAGTCGCGACAATTGGACATCGCACAAGACAAGCCAAGCCAAGCCAAGCCTGCGACGGTGCTGCCACGAGGTACTGTGTAAACAAACGCTCGACACCCCCCCGCCATTTATTTTTGTCTTCCTTCCCTAAGACTACTTTAATTTTACTTTACTTTTTTGCTTAACCTTTTTTATCTAGTTTTTTTAGCTCTGTTTTAATCTTTAAATACAACCATAATTCTATATATATAAGTGTAATAGTTTTTTTATCCCTTTTGTTTTTAATCTTTAAAATAAATCCTTTTATTATACTGTGCAAGTGTGCATTTATTTCCCCCATTGTTTTTCCTTTCAATCGATCACCCTATTTTTTTTCTTTTTTAAACGAACACGAACACACTAAATCCAAACACTTTAGGTCTTCGTGTAGACACTGTAGCGGACCCCCCGAGACCACAGAACACATTTTCCTAGAGTGTCCATCTCTAGATAAACACAGATCAATACTTTTCTTAAACTGGGTAAGACTAATAGGTTACATACCTAACACAACAAAATATTATCCTCAAATAAGAAAATATAGAGTTTTATGCTCACCTTCGCACACTGCTGTGGAAGATTCTCACCCTCAAACAAACCACCCCAGATTAACTCTGAAGCAAACACGTCCGAAACCGAATACTCAGATAATCAACCACCCTACGAGCCCAATCTATAAAACATCTCCTTATTTATTACTCCTTTTACACCTATATATACAACCCCACTAATTCCAATAGTTCACATTTCACATATTTTACCCTCTAATAGAATTTCCTTAATTCCAATCCAACGTTCGCCTTCACATTATCCTACCTATTTAATACCACCTATTTAATATTTGTGTATCATTACTCTAACTGTATATTAATTAACCATATATATACACACTCACACATTATACCCAATATTATGTATACAAATATAAATATTCCCCCCTATTAATCTACCTTGAATAACCATTCAACATCATGTACATGAGAGGGGTCGGTGGAAGGCTGGTTAAACCGTTTGGTTTTCGACCGCTACGACCCTGGTTTGATTCCCGCATTGGACACTTTTTTCTGTTTAAAAAAAAATGCTCCATTGGCCCCCGATTCTTGCAAAAGTTCAACCCCAGCAGCAAGTGCAAGTAACCAAACGGGGCTCTGGCACAATTGTAAGTGCAAAGTCGAACTGCTTTTCACATGTGTAGACATGTGGTGCGCTTACAGTAAAAGCAGTCGTAACTACCCACCATAATTATCATGGCCTGTACCACGTGTAGACTTTACTGTCACATAAAGTTTCCAAAAAAAAGTTTTTAAAAAAATTATAAAATTTTATAAACAACTAGCCGAATGACCCGGGCAACGCCCGGGTTTTACCCGATTAAATGTTTTCATTCAAATATTATTCGTTACAATTTTAAATTGGCACCGTGGACGTCACTTTTCTGAAACGTCCCGCTCCAAACTTTGTGTGTGTTTTCAAAATATAAAAATAAATATGTAAATTTTCACAACGATATTTGAAAATTATATTATTTTGATTTTCAAATACTATTCGTTACAATTATAAATTGGCGCCGTGGATGTCACTCTTGTGAAACGTCCCGCTCCAAACTTTGTGTCTGAGAAGCGATATTTTTATAGAAAGATGATCTGGCTTTTGTTTTCTGCTCGAATGAATGTTTTTCTGTTAGAATTTTGTTCCTGCGTACAAAATAATGAACTGGTTTCACCCGTGGTCTCTGCTTTTTGGAATTTTTCCCGATATAATTTTGTATCTGATAATCAAACATGATACAGCAATATCGTCATAATCATTTTCTGACTAAAAATATATCTACTTATATAATTGCCTTATTCTGTCTGTGTGAAGTTCACTGTGTGAAGTTCACGGATAGATTTTGGTCATCAACGCGCACATCATCATTATGATCATTATCATTATCTAATGATAATTATTTATTTATCGAACCCACGACCTTCCGCTTACCGGGCAGATGCCATGACCACTAGGCTACCCTGGACATATTTTTCCGTTCATAAAGTTAATATATGAATATTATTTTAATTAGAACATTTTAAAAACACACAGTTTGGAACGGGACGTTTCACAAGAGTGACATCCATGGCGCCAATTTATAATTGTAACGAATAGTATTTGAATTAAAACGTTTTTAAAATATATACGCACTCGGGTAAAACCCGGGCGTTGCCCGGGCCATTCGTCTAGTAGTTTTAATAATTGATTTATATATTTTTTAAAATAGCCTATCGTCTTCCCCTTATTTTTTACCTATGTATGGAAATTTTGGTTTGAATTAGTGAACTACTGCGAATTTGTATACCAGACATACAAACAAATATACATTCATTTTTATATCAACATATATAGTCACGACCGTCTTTCCTCAATTCCTCATCGCTGTCACGGATGCGCGCGCATCATCATTATGATCACTATCATTATCTAATGATGATGATAATAATAATAATAATAATTATTATTATTATTATTAATATTAATACAGTGGACCCTCGGTTTGCGAGCATAAGCCGTTCCAGAGCCATGCTCGTACTCCAAAACGCTCGTAGTGCGAAACTAATTTCTTATTTTTAATAATTGAAACTCGGGCAATTCTTCTTGCTACGAACAATTGCACAGTTTCCCACATTTTACATATTTCCCGAATCTGATCTGAAGGGAGGGATCCCAGTGAATTTTCATCCATCACGATTACGGGCAATCATCACGAGTTGCTCGTAATGCGAAATTTCACTCGTAATCCGAGGTAAAATTTTTCAAAAAATTTTGCTCGTACTGCGAAAAGCTCGTACTCCAAGGTGCTCGTAAACCGAGGGTCCACTGTATATATAGTCACGACCGTCATGGGCGGGCGGGCGGGCGTTCTGTCACGGATGCGCGCGCATCATCATTATGATCATTATCATAATGAAAATTATATTAAAAAAAAAGAAAAAACATTTTAAAATTAAAAACTTTATTTTAAAAATAAATATATATTTTAAAATAACAGAATATTTTATATTGAATAGTAAATATAATATAAAAGCCAACAATGAAGAATGAATGTAAGATAAAAAGCCAACAATGAAGAGTAAATCTCTATATATATAAAAATGAATGTTTGTATGTTTGTCTGTTTGTATGTTTGTTTGTATGTCCGGTATACAAATTCGCAGTAGTTCACTAATTCAAACCAAAATTTCCATACATAGGTAAAAAAATACGGGGAAGACGATAGGCTATTTAAAAATATATATAAATCAATTATTAAAACTATATATTTTTAGTCAGAAAATGATGATGACGATATTGCTGTATCATGTTTGATTATCAGATACAAAATTATATCGGGAAAAATTCCAAAAAGCAGAGACCACGGGTGAAACCAGTTCATTATTTTGTAAGCAGGAACAAAATTCTAACAGAAAAACATTCATTCGAGCAGAAAACAAAAGCCAGATCATCTTTCTATGAAAATATCGCTTCTCAGACACAAAGTTTGCAGCGGGACGTTTCACAAGTGTGACATCCAAGGCGCCAATTTATAATTGTAACGAATAGTATTTGAATAAAAACATTTAATCGGGTAAAACCCGGGCGTTGCCCGGGTCATTCGTCAACATTAATATATAGTCACGACCGTCTTTCCTCAATTCCTCGTCGCTGTCACGGATGCGCGCGCATCATCATTATGATCATTATCTTCTATAGAAGCTTCTATCTTTATAATTATGTATATTTACAAAAGTCAATTCGCTCGCTCCTCTAGCGGTGAAAATGAGGGGTAATAACAGCTGACCTAATGTACATGTAAAGTTTGGAGCGGGACGTTTCACAAGAGTGACATCCACGGCTCCAATTTATAATTGTAACAAATAGTATTGGAATAAATACATTCAATCGGGTAAAACACGGGCGTTGCCCGGGTCATTCGTCTATATATATATAGTCACGACCGTCATGGGCCGGTTCTGTCACGGATGCGCGCGCACAGGGTGGTCACGTGCTCGCCGGCAGCCAACGGGCGCGCGCCGCCGGCATTACGTCATAGATTATAAACACAAGGTAATAAGGCCAAATAAAAAAATAGTGTGTGATAAGGCACAATTTGGATTATCTACTTATATAATTGCCTTATTCTCTCTGTGTGAAGTTCACGGATAGATTTTGGTCAGAATGGATAAAATAAAAAAAGTGTCAAGGGATGGGAATCGAACCCACGACCTTCCGCCTACCAGGCAGATGCCATGACCACTAGGCTACCCTGGACATATTTTTCCGTTCACATTTTTATTTTTATATTTTCAAGACACACACAGTTTGGGGCGGGACGTTTCACAAGAGAGGCATCCACGGCGCCAATTTATAATTGTAACGAATAGTATTTTAATTAAAACATTTTAAAAATATATAGGCACTCGGGTAAAACCCGGGCGTTGCCCGGGCCATTCGTCTAGTATATATATAGTCACGACCGTCTTTCCTCAATTCCTCATCGGCCGCTGTCACGGATGCGCGCGCATCATCATTATGATTATTATCATTATCTAATGATAATAATAATAATAATAATTATTATTATTATTATTATATATATATCAACATATATAGTCACGACCGTCTTTCCTCCTTCCTCATCGGCCGCCTCTGTCACGGATGCGCGCGCACAGGGAGGTCACGTGCTCGCCTCAGCCAACGGGCGCGCGCCGCCGGCATTACGTCATAGATTATAAACACAAGGTAATAAGGCCAAATAAAAAAATAGTGTGTGATAAGGCACAATTTGGATTATCTACTTATATAATTGCCTTATTCTGTCTGTGTGAAGTTCACTGTGTGAAGTTCACGGATAGATTTTGGTCAGAATGGATAAATTAAAAAAAGTGTCAAGGGATGGGAATCGAACCCACGACCTTCCGCTTACCGGGCAGATGCCATGACCACTAGGCTACCCTGGACATATTTTTCCGTTCACATTTTTATTTTTATATTTTCAAGACACACACAGTTTGAGGCGGGATTGTTCTTAGTGGGTAGTGTCTTCTTAACAGGATCTTGTTTAAATCTGATGGATCAATACAAATTCTATATTTCCCGCCTTGCTTCACTACCACCATGTGGCTGTGTTGGTTCTTCCATTTCTTTTTATCACCTTACTTTTCTCCATTAAGTCTAGCTGTTTCACTAGTTTCACTAGTGAACTGATGGAAAACATCCAAATAAACAACACAAACTTTTCAAAATAAAATTGGACACTGGAGCTCAGTGCAAAGTCTTGCTTTGTAACATTTTCAAGAAAATAAATTCAAAACTTAACAGAAATTCCGTGAAAAGTTTAAAATCATTCTCAGGCCACAGAATTAAGGTGGAAGGAGAAATTATTGCCTCATGCATAATAAACAACATCAAGGCAGACATTAAGTTCATTGTCACCAAAACAGGGATCACACCAATACTGGGCAGTGAATCTTGCTTTATGCTAGGACTACTCAAGAGAATAAATGAAATAAAAGCAGTAGAACAAGAGTTTCACCAGTAGTTCAAAGAAGATGGTTGCGTAAAGAATTTTGAATACAGAGCAGAATTCACAAAAGGGGACCACAAGTTGGAAATAAAGGCACCCAGGAGCATACCCATAAAAATAAAGGATGAGGTCAAGAAACAGCTAGATTTAATGGAGAAAAGTAAGGTGATAAAAAGAATGGAAGAACCAACACAGCCACATGGTGATAGTGAAACAAGGCGGGAAATATAGAATTTGTATTGATCCATCAGATTTAAACAAGATCCTGCTAAGAAGACACTACCCACTAAGAACAATAGAGGACATAGCTTCCAATATAAAAAATTCAAAATACTTCACAAAGCTTGACTTCTTAAAAGGCTTTTGGCAACTGAAGGTTGCTGCGGGAACACAACCATACTAGACCTTCAGCACACCTTGGGGGCGTTATGCTTTCCTTAGAATCCCACTTCTGACGCCATGTAAAATCTTTGTTTACTTATATTGTGATGTATTGGCGGATTAGTTTAATATTTGTTTTTATTTATTTGTTGTCACAGAGTTGATGATGATAATTGTGTATATATGCATATATATAGTGTTTGTGTTTTGGAGCAGTTAGTTATTTTTCTAATATGGAATAGTTTTAACTTTGTTTGTTTCTTGGCATTAAAAAGATATACTATTTTCAAGTCTTATCTTTGGAAACATTGCATTGGCGACGAGGTTTAAGAGTAAGTACCCAAGCGATGGTATAGCGTAATATGAAGAATTTTGTTTAATATTAAAGAAGTAATAAGTTATTGGAAATTTACATAAGAAAAATTATTTCATGATGGCTCATTACCATTTTAAGGAATTTGAAGAAAAAAAAATGAAAATTTTTGCTCATTTATCGAGCGTTTGGAGCAGTTTCTAATTCTAGAAGAAGCTAGTGAAGAAAAGAAAAAAGCCTATTTGTTGACTCTAATTGGCGGGAAGGCGTATGATACATTGAAAAATTTATGTAGCCCGAAGTTGCCTAAAGAGTATAAATATGAAGAATTGATTGAGAAACTGGTTGAATATTTTTCCCCAAGGCGATCTATAATTGTAGAGAGATTCATGTTTTTTGGAAGAATACAAAAGGAAACGGAAAGTGTTTCAGAATATCTGGTGGAAATCAAGCGGCTAGCCTCAACGTGTGGATTTGGCGAATTTTTAAAGGAATCCTTAAGAGACAAATTGGTGTGCGGATTGAGAAATGCAAAAATCCAGAGGAGGATCTTGTCGGAAGGAGATGTGCCGTTGGCAAGAGTAGTTGAAATTGCGTTGTCGATGGAGGCAGCAGAAAAAAATACCAGAATATTCCATGTCAATGAGCCTGCAGATAGCGTGGACAAAATACGCGCAGAAGTCAGAGAGCAAAAGAGAAAGTGCATACATTGCGGGAGGTTGCAAAAAGACTTATGCAGATTTAGAGAGGCGACCTGTTTCAGATGCGGGAAAAGAGGTCAC